AGAGCGGAGGGGCCTTTTCAATTGCAAATTTCTTATTACAGTGTCTCAGTTTTCCCACTTCTTTTTCTGTCTTGGCTCTGCCGGGCTTTCCATAGTAATTGTGAGAGCAGCTCTCCAGCCCTCTGGCAGCCCGGACCTAACCGGGAGCAGTGAGAAACACCTCCTGTGGTCATCCATCCGTATTTCAGACTAAGTTGCTGGAGACGGGCTGCCGACGACGGCACTGGTCTTTGTCCCCTCATCTCTTATTTATACATTATCACAGGGATTTTGTGCTTGCCGAAGGTAGCCTGTTTGACAGCCCCGCACACTTGACTCCCACGAAAGCGCTGGAGGATCAGGCTGAGCCTCCCTGCTGCCCATAGCATTGCAATCCTATTTATTGTGCCCATCTGTCCAGGAGGTAAAACTTCAGCAGAGGAAATCTTGAACTTGCTTGAGGAAAACCACCTTTGTGGAAGGTCCTTGGGGGCTACTCGGTGGCAGAGGCTGTTGCTCGCGGCCAGTTACTGCTCAGTGCATGGGTGGTTTTTGGGGCATGGAGCACCTGCCCCGTTACGCTCACCAGAGCCGAGCAATCACAGCGAGGCGCAGGCAGGCGAGAGCGCCAGGTCCCGCACACTCATAGCGGCACAGCCCGCCATCTCGCTTTGACACCAGGCACCTCATTTCAAAAATTTCTGATGAAGCACATTTTTTCACAGAGAAACGGGTTTTTTTGGGTTTTTGTTTTGTTTTTTTAACAAATCAGACGTTTCCACTAGGGAAGGAAAAGGGTTGCACCTTGCAGGTTTTCAGGCCTTTTTTTAAAGTCAAACAAAGCAAAAAGCACATAGGAATCTTCCCTGAGCGATGCCATGAGAAGACAGCAACCGTTTTCGGGTGGCTCAGCCCGGGAGGAGCCCTCAGGGCCGGGAGCGCGTTTCCCCATGCGTGGCAACGTGCCCCGAAACCGCCCCGCCTCCCACCAATGCTTCACAAGGGCATTATGGCCGGGGGAGAGCCCTCGTGCAGTGATCAGCCGATGTGGAGGCCAGTGTCGGCTCTCAGGCAAGGCTGAAATTAGTGAGGGAGGAAAGACGAGCGCAGGGCCTGGCTGTCCGCTGTGAGGTGAGGAATGGCGCCAAGGACCGTGGTGCTGAGTTTCCCCGGCTCTTGCCATCCTGCCTAGCTGAACCCTCCCTGTCCCCTCGCCGGGTGTGCGTGGCCTGTCCCCCACCCTGGCCATGAGGGAGACCCTTCGGTGGGTTTGGGACCGTTGCTGGCCTTGGAGGCCTCCCTGCCCTGGGGGCCTGGTGTGAGGGGCCGTCTCCCGAGTGGAGGGGGCTCATCTCCAGCCGCGCCGTGGCTGCTGGCCCCCGGTGGAGGAGATGGCATGTCTGCCCCTCATGGTTTTCCCCAAAAGCAACCATTAGTGACTGGGCATGGAGAGGGGCGCAGAGTCGCTCCCATCCCTCACAGCCTGTCATGGCGCCAGGCCTGCAGCCTCCCACCCAGCATGGCAGCGCTGAGGGAGCTTCCTCCACCCTCGCGGGTGGCAAGGACTCTCCGGTGCCGACGCTCCCTCCCCTCACGCCCTCCCCGTCCCACCTCAGTCCTCCCCAGGGCTTGGTTTGGGGGGAAGCAGGCTGCCCACCCGCCAGTCCCAGCCATTGGGGCCGGGCTCGCCGTGGCCCCCCACATCCCACCAGCAAAAATGTCACGACAGCCTCACCCTCCTCTCATGAGACTGGAAAAAATATCGCAAGAGAAAGAGAGAAGGAAGGAAGGAAAGAGGCAAAGATAGATAATGGCTTCTTTTTATTTGCCTTCTGCTCTCTGAGTCATGGTTTTCAGTTTTGCTCCCCAACCGCAAAGACTAAAACTTTTTTTTTTAAAAAGCCCCGTGAAAGTCAAGGTTCGCTTGTAGCCCTGTGGCTCTTGGGCTGAGGCTTTAAATACGTCCCCATCAGACAGGATGATATCGAGCTGTGTCAGAGTATCTTTTTGCACCCAAACCACTCTCAGCCCTTCTTCCACTTCCTCTCTTTGAAAGCAGCCCCATCTTTCATAACCATGTTGTAAATGAATCATCTCTTTTCTGGCCCTGCGCTCCTGGGAGTTAGATTAAACTTGTTGTTTCTGCTTAATTTCAAGAGATGTGAACTGTGTCCCCACAAAGATGGAGCCCTGAAACGGACCGACAATGGAGGTGAGTACCTCTGCGCAGAGCCGGGTATGTCGTGCGGAGCCTCCGGGGACTCAGCAGCTGTCCCAGGCACAAAATAATTCATTTCTGAGCCTACGTCACCAGAAAGGGAAGGCTGGAGGCTCCAGAGGAATGAAAACACTCTGCCTTTTTTCTTACAAAACTTCACTTTCTGAAGCCTCCACGGCGAGAAGACCTTTCCCTGGGGGGGAACCTGCCTGACCTCTGGCTGGCATTGAAGCACAGCCCCTGAAAAGTGCAGTTTCTTGAGTTTAACCTCGCAGGAATCAGTGCACGATCTGGCATTGTTTATAGAAAAGTGGAAGTTGCAGAGTTATTTGCTGCACGCTTGCACAGCAGCAGAGTGATCCTCAGGTTAACAGAGCCTCAGCCTTGAGTCCCCATCTGAGAGCAGGGACCAGGATGCAGTAAAGATGTTTTTTTCTGCAGGACTTATCTGCTCATCGTTGATGCTTCTCAGCCTCTGGTGCTGTGAAGTACTGCCGAGTCTGATTTCAGTTGTCAGAGCTTGCAGCTATTGATGCTACTGGCTGTATAGATCAAACTTAATTTTTCTCAAAATCTTATTTTTCAGAAAGGCTTCTGTACCTACCTGCCACTTACCTTAATACACAAAGAGTTAAATTAGGCAAGGAGGTCTTTATTCTGATAGATCCCATATTTAGAGAAGAAGCGCTAAGTCCGGGATATTTTGTAGAAGCATCTGCTAGAGCTGGTCATAAGTGCCAAGAGCCTTAGTGCAATAGCACAAGTATCGTGTTGGGGGATTGCTTTATAATAACATAGCATCTTCTTCCAAACATGTTATTACATGGTTTGGTCAGGTCTGTGTAGACAGGCACAAGAAGTGTTACAGCCATGGCACTGTACAGAATTATGTAGCCCAAGTACTTACAGTGCTGTAGGATTCTGCAGTCATGGAGTTTGGTTCCGCCTGCCCGGGTGAATTCATCCTAATTCTAGCTAAATCCTCTCAGTGCAGTAGCCATACCGGTATCGATCAGCCCCCAAAGGCTCCTGACCTTCAAACTTTCTCAGTTCTGTCCTGACCAGATGGAATTTCAACTTACACATCTGATTTGGGAAGTGTCTTGGTGGATTTAGATTTTAATCTAACTTGGCTTGCTGAAAAAGAGCCTTCTTTAGCCGTTGATACCAGCCAATAAAGGGAGCTTTGTTTCCAGTGGCATGGGACTGCACGTCAAACCTGTCCCATCAGCATCATTTACTGCTTGGATGCTTTTCCTGGGTTTGGTTAGGTCTTCAACTCCGGGTCTCAAGTCCTAAGGGGGTGCTTTTAAGAACGATGAGCGTTGTACATTTCTTTTCCCAAAGAAATCTCTGCTTTCTTATTTAATCTGGAGGTGGTATCCGTCTGTCTTTCACCCACAAAGGATTTGATTCCTAACCAAGTTACAACAAGCAGAGTTTCAAATCTAACATCTAACTTAAGTTGGCTCTCTTCCTTCTCTCCCTCCCATGCTTTTCTGCAGCCCTGTCTGAGTTTAAGACTCTTCTGGGTTGCCCCATGTGAATCTCCGCTCTCTGTCTTGTTTGCTTCCCCAGGGTGGGCCCATGTCGTCTGTGCTCTGTACATCCCAGAGGTGCAGTTTGCCAACGTGCTCACCATGGAGCCAATTGTCCTGCAGTATGTACCCCACGACCGCTTCAACAAGGTAAGGCCATCTCTTTCTCCTGCTGCCCCAAGTGTACTTGCCCCGCCTTGGCTTTTTGGGGTTGTCTTATTCTGCCACATCTCCTGTACAATTTATTTTAAATTCCAGGTACTCGGATTCCTTTAAAAATAACTAACGAAGTAAATTCCCATTCCTGCAAATAACTTTTTGGTCCTCCATTTCTCTCTTCCCCTACTCCCTGCATCTTGAACAGTCTCCGCCTTGGAGTTGCATGTTGGTTACTCCACATTTTGATCTGACACAGTTGTTACTTGGGGAGAAAAAGAAGATGCGTGAGTTTTGTGCATGCCACTGAGAAATAACCCAGAGCTGTTGTCATAGGAGGGAGATGACTGGACACAGAGTTGTGAGTTCTTGAAGGCTTTGCCTCCTGGTGAACAGTGAGAGTGAAGGCACTGTCTGCCTCTTTGAGTTGAGCACTTGTCCTTTTTTTTTTTTTTTTGCAGACCTGCTACATTTGTGAAGAGCAGGGCAGGGAGAGCAAAGCAGCCTCTGGAGCATGCATGGCCTGTAACCGACACGGCTGCCGGCAAGCTTTCCATGTCACCTGGTGAGTTCCCCACAGCATCACCCCAAAAATAGCCCCAGCTAGTGGTTTTGCTGCTATGGCTTTGAGGCCGCACCGAATGGGTGGTGTGGGGAGTTGGGCTGATCAGCCTGGGTTTATTTTGTGCGAGGGGTATCTCGTCCTTGCTCAGTTCGTGAGGGGAACTTCCCCAGGAAGGCTGAGGTTTCACCAGTGAGCCTTCCCTGCTGAGAACGAAGGCTGGGGATTTCCCTAAGACTGTGTGGAATCCAAGAAGAGAAGAGATGAGTCACAACCCAGGAATGTTCCTTCTCCAGCAGAGCACATGCAGGAGTATCATCTAGATGATATGATTTTAAGGGCTGATATCCTCATGTACCCTCGCAGCCTGAAAACAACATTGTCTGTCAGCAGAACAGGGAGATTCCCAGCTTTACATGGATTCCTTGCTCATGATACATATTTTGTTGGGATTGTTACCGGTCTCCCAGGCCTCCCTTAAGAAAAACAAAAAATGCAAGACAATCTGGTAGAAAAGTACTGACAGTTTTGAAGATCTTAATATGAATTAAAAATAGTCTGAACTTTTTTCCCCCTCCTTGCATACCATTTGCCAAGCAGAACAGGAAACTCCAAGACCCTGCCTGGGTATCCTGAACTGTTCTTTGCCCTTTGATGGGATATGTGGTCTGGTTGTACAATTTGCTTTATCCTCCTCCTATTTGCATGTATTTCAGTGCCCAGATGGCTGGCCTCTTATGTGAAGAGGAAGTCCTAGAGGTCGACAATGTCAAATATTGTGGCTACTGCAAGTACCACTTCAATAAAATGGTGAGTTTCTTCATCCCTGCAATGGAGTTTTTTTGTCTCATATAAGGCATCGTCTTCATCCTAGATTGTGTCTCTGCTCAGAGCAGTAAAAATGCCAAGAACACATAAACAAGGTCTGCAGCCTGCTTCCCTTTTCAGCCATTCAGTCAGAGTCACTTAGGAATAAAGATTAATTTCTATGCATTTCTATAGCATCTTAAAACCCATTTTCAAAACTAGGGGTTGAATTTTTCCCATCTGTTTTGGCTTCCCTGACCTACTCTGTACGGCTGAAAGATAAGTCCCAAGAAAGGAGAGCAGCCATGATGCTTGATGCTCCGGGGAGTTAGGGGTATAGCTCAGGCACCCTGGGCAGAAGGGTGTCACACAGAACAGCCAGAACTTCTGCCTGAGGACAGAGACAGCCCAGAAGAGACATGGAGTCATTCACTGTTTGAGGGATATTTGGGGCAAAGGACTTCCCCCTATTAATTACAGTACCGAGAGGAAAGAGAGGAACCCTTTTCCTGTTCTGCATAATTAGTAGACACCTGCTCTCCCCCCTCCAGCGAAAAGGAAACTTGATCCTCTCACTGCAGCTTTATGTCTCAGTGGCTCCTTTGTTGCTGGCCTTTCCCACTTTCCTTCCTGCTTATCAGTGCTGTCACATACAGTGACTGATGTCTTGAGCTTCCCCTCAAAGTCAAACTGGAGGACACCTTCCCTGCCCTTCAGGTACCCTCAGTATCTGACACAAGTGTAGCTCTGTATCAAGTTTACTGACGCTGAGATAGATAGCAGGACTTCTGCTAGTGCCTGGAGTCTGAGAACAGGGCATCCTTCCACACACGCCCCCATGCCCCACTCAAGACTGGAAGCTGGACACTGCTGTTCCTAAGGACTGGCTTGTCTAAGCAACATTGCTGCTACCATTTATCTTGTTGTTTACGGAATGGTCTCTTAGCAGCTGTGCCTGTCTTCTTACAAGTGTCAGCGTGCATGGGCCGCCAAGAACCAAAGATCTGGGGAGTTAGATCTACATGCTGTTTGTAAGCCCACTAACAGGGTATCCACTGTGGTCCTTGTGTTAGGAACCAGACTGGGCATCTGATACAAATAGGATTTGGTCCTGCATGTGGTAGACAAGCCATTTACTGTAACATTGCTCACTGTAACAGTGAAAGCTGGACTCTATAACACTGTTTGCTCTCTCTCTCTTTTTGCTCCTGTTCTCTACCTCCTCTCCCCTTCCCCACTTACCTCAGAAGACCTCACGTCACTCTGGAGGTAGCTCCTTCATTGCTGGAAGAAGGAGTCGATCCACGTCCCCTGCTCAAGAGAAGCATGTATCCCACCACGAAAGGCCAAAGAAGGTAAGAACTGCACAGAGTTTTTCAATCCAGAGAGGCAGAGTCATGTGGGGTGGAGGTGAGAAGGGGAAGAGTGTGCCAAGAGCACTGATGGCTCCTCAGGTGAGCCCTGACTCTGTAAAGAGTTTCACAGTCAGAGATCTGAACAGTGGCTGCGTTTTTAAACAAGCCTCTAGAAATGTGTATGCAAATAGAGCAGCGCAGCCATGGGGAATGTGAGGCGAAGTTTGCATGTTCAGATTATGCCAGAGGGGTCCTGGCAGAACATGCCTATGAAACGTGCAACTTCCCCCTTTCTGTCTTGTGGCAAGTCTGCTTTGAGGATGACGTTGTGCTATGGTTTCCAGCTACTGAGTTGATCTGTGTGGAAGTAGTTTGAGCTGTGGTTTTAAATGCAGCAGCTCAAGAACAGAAAATTGGAGGTCGTTGTCCTCAGATCCCAGAGTCCAGGTTTTAAAGGACAAAAAGATACTGATTAGTAATCTGCATTGTGGCCAGCAGGTTAATTGTAGGCAAGAACAATAATCAGTATAAACTAGGTAGTATTTTGTTAGTCAGATTAGGCAGTCACAGGGATTCCACCTGCCTCAAGTCTACCTGTGAAAATAGTTTGTCTTCGTTAAACAATTATTTAGAAGATGGTTGCATGCCAGATCCGACTGGTACGATAGTTATTTATTTAACTCTGCTGGTTAAGATGTACTCGTCAAAACTACTGCAGTGGTACAGGACATGTTAACAGCACACCAAGGTTCATAATTAACCAACTGACTCATGTGACAAGTGCTTGTTATTTCAAGGAAAAGCAGCAGTGCACGTCTAAGGCAGAATACCAGCAGACTCCTGGGTTCTGACAGGGGTGCAGGTTCCAGCGTGGAAGGGTCTGTACCAAGAGAAATGAGGAGGCCAGAGGCTTGTGAGGTATTTGTTATTTATAACAGTAAATAGCCCTAAAACACGGGAGGCGCATTTTTTTGAGGATTCAAGTTCTAAGGCAAGTGGCAGCAGAACAAGAAATCTTCCCTACCTCTTGATACAGCTTTTGCAATATCAAGAATCCGCAACGTAGTACTGCTACCCTCCTTTGCACCCTGTCTATACACAGCAGTGGAGCAGGGTCTGAAGCAGAAATAACTTATACAGGGATACTGTCAGTATGGTCAGATAGTTTTTAATACTTTATGGGCCATATCCTGGTTTTTGTTAGCAGAAATCCAGAATTACTCTACCAAGCAACCTCTGGATATACTCCGCTATAGTCAAAAGCCAAATTTACCTTGTTGTATAAACACAATTGGTGATACCCCTGCAAATCGCAGTGCGAATCCTTTAAGTCTTGCCATAGGTGTCTGGCTGTTTACTTCTTTTTGTTTGTTTTTGTCTGTTGCAGTAGGCATCCTCACAATGCGTAAATGATTTTGAATGGTAATGATAGTGACCCACATCCAGAAACAGCCTGATGACACTCCAGTGGGTTATGTGGCCTAAGTCTGATGGATCTCAGCCCAGTCTCCAGGGGACAAGGGCATCCAGGCTTTCAAAAGCAGTACGGCCATCAGTTAATACTGACTGACACCCTCCTGGCACGCCCAGCTGAGAGTCTATAAATTCTGTGGGCAGGAAAGCCATCTCCTTCTTTATTTACAGAGGTTATCCCGCAATATCCAGTTTGAAACGCTGCCCACCATGTCCATTACGTGTTTGGGAAGCTTGCCCAAACCGTACCTGATACATGAGCAAACAAGGCAAACCTCGCTTACAGAGTGGTGCCTACCCAGCTGCCGACACCAAGTCAGTAGACTTCCTACTGCCGACAAGGCTAAAGCGTATGGGGAGTATTTACTCCTCTTGTGTGTTCAGCTGCTGCGAGGAGGGGAGGAGGCGGGAGGGAGAAAGAGCATCTGTGCCATGGACGGGGAGCGAGCGCTTGGCACAAGGTGAACGGCTGTACTGGAACGTGCTATTTTTAGCCAACAAGCAGGCAGAGGGGGTGGGGGAGAGGGCAGGATCGGGGTGATTGACGGCAGCTTTGGAGAGCTCAGCTGTAATTATAACTGACAGACTGTGTAAGTCCAAGGCTGGGGACTGTACGAGGGTTTCTATATTTGCACAGCTTCTGGTGGCAGGGGTGGGAGCACAGTCACGTGCCTGGCAGGTAGGAGCAGGGGAGGTGCTTCTTCCCAGCTTTGGTTAGAAAGCAGGTCAGCGCCAGGGGGAGAGCGAAAACAGGAGTAATATGGATTTATTTATAGGCTTCTCAGTGGCGCTTGCCACTATTGTTAGCCTCTGGGTTCCTCAGAAACGTGCAGAGACTCCGTCTCGCTGCTGCCTCACCACTCTCCCCTCCTGATGGCTCACTGGGTTTGCGAGCAGCAGATCCGATGGAGGCCCCTTCCAGGGCCAGGATTGCTTGGCAGGGCCGCAGCGCAAGTGCAAAATCATAACTCCTTCCACTTAGAGAGGGGGAGTCAGCACGGAAAGGGGACGAGGTGTGCAAAGCAGCTGAGATGGACAGGGTAAGGAAGGCACTCTCGGCTTCCAGGGGTGTTGGGTAGTTTACAGGTCTGGGAGTGGTTATGAAGTGCAGGGAGGAAGGACTGGGTGTTAGGCGGTGTGGGAACAGAGACCTTTCGAAGGGGTACACAAAGAGGGGGTTGAACCATTAGTTCCCACATGGTTTTGGAGTACGTGACTAGCTGTGCATGATCTAATTGCACATGTTTCAGGGGAACTGGGCGTGCTGCTGTGCTGACCTGAAGTAGAACAGCTTTTTCTTGAGCCTGTCCAGCTGTGCAGCTGGCTGGTCCCGTCCTCCCGGAGCTGGAGGCGTTGCAGGGGAGCTGATCACTCAGCGGCAGACCAAAGCGCGTGTCTGAGTCCCTGGGCTGCAGGTGCTCATGGCTCTCCGCTCCAGAAGGAGCTCAAGTGCCTGACAGCTCCCTTCCAGTGCAGGGCTGTGGCTGTTTACTTAGGCTTTACGGAGGAAAACTCTGGCTGAGTTAATGACTAAGTGAGGGGCGCAGGATTTAACCCAGTGGCTTCAGTAAGACAGCAAAGACTTGGGATTTGGACTCCTAAGCCCTGCTGTAAAACCGTTAAGCATTTGTGAAGAGTCTTGTTCTCTGCAGAACAAGGGACAATTGTGATGTGGGACTGCAAGCCAATGTCGGCATCCCCCGCCTCTTGCAGGCACAAATGATACCAGCCCAAGCATTTCCTTCTGTGCTGTCCTGAAAATGGGAAAGCTCCAGGCTTTGGGTTTTCCTCAGAACATACCAGGCCTTAGCAAAACCAGCCCCATTTATTTCTTTGGGGTTGGTATTGCAATGTGTGTGCTCTGCCCTGTGGGAGCCTTTGGAGGGCTTGTTGTTCAAAAAAAAGAAAAAAGAAAGAAAGAAAACAATAGCTAAATACCAAGAAAATGCTGGATGACGCACAGGGATTGAATGAAGTACAGATGTTCTGTCACCTATATTGTCTGCTTGAAACGCACAAAAAAAATTACCATGCTCCGTGGAATGAAATTTGTCACACCAGGAGCAGACAGGAGCACATGCACTACAACATTTTTAGGCATATACCCCATGGAGGAAGACACTTGTCCAGTGTTATTCTTAGTGAACACCTGGAACCCATAAGCAAAATCAGGGGACTTTTAATCTGGATACGGGACTTTGTTATGAGAGCAACAGTCCCTGCCCAGTGACATAGGAAAGAGAGGCAGGCACTTGGAGCAACCTGCAGTTGTTCCTCAGGTCTGGGTACGGAGCCAGTTGTCCACAATCATAACGCACCTTTAGCTCCTGAACTGCTTCCCTAGTCACGGCGGGGGGCACTTTATGGGGGTACAGGGACTGTCTCTGTCCTGACCCCCTTATCCCTTTAGCACCAGCCAGAGCGGTCGGTGCATGAGCCCCTGGTCCCACAGGGTCTGAGCAGATGCACGGCAGAGCCTGCCTCCCCGCTGCTATTGCCTGTCTGTCTAGACCTGATGCCAGTGGAGGAAATGAGCCAAGGATCCGACCTGGCAGATTTAGCACACTGGAGAAGTTGTACTGGGCTGAAATCTAAACCCAGTGGGTCTGTGAGGGGTTTTGTGTTTGCATTTGAGTTGGTGACGGAGATCGGCCTCTTGGAGTTTTGTGTCCACACAGGCACCAAAGGGCAAAGTGGACATTTTTTTCAAGTGGGATGCAGGTGGCTGCTTGCAAGACCAGCACAGGTTTTTTGGGAAGGAGTACTGAATCTAAATCTACTCTGATCTAGCTATAGAAGCCTTGTTTTATAGCATCCTTGACTGGCTTTCTGTGACCTCTTGTTATGTGGGTGTTTAACCGCCCCCAGCAAATCCTTCCATTAGCAGGGGGTGCAGCAATAATTTGAGAGCACACAAAGCCCAGCGAGGGCTGGCCGTGCGGCCTTTTGTAAAAACTCTCATGCACTCAGAGCGTGTCTCAAGGCAGACCCTCGAAATCCCCAGCACGGCCCCGGTGCAAGCGAGGTTGGAGGCAGGGGCTTAGTGTCCCTCTGCCCTGTGCTGCCTTCCTCCTCGCTGCAGCTGCCATGGCTGCAGCCCAGAGCCAGGCCTCCTCCTCCGGGTGAGGGAGTTCAGAGAGCCTGGGAAAGAGGGAGGGAGCAGCAGAGCCCGCTTGGCTCTTCCCAGCTCTTCCCTCCCTCCTTCCCCTGCCCAATCTACTTTTAATGATCCAGTTGCTGGTGTCCAGCAGATTAGAAGAAGGGGCTCAGGGAAGGGGAGACGGCAGTGGGGGGAGCAAGAGGAGCTGTGTACAACCCTTTTTGGCAGCGAGAGATCCTGTTTCGTTCCTCCTGTGCTGGGGAGCTCGAAGGGAGATTGTGTCGCCGGCACGCCCCCGATGCAGCCGCGCTCCCCCCACCGCAGGCCTGGCCTGCTCCATGCCCACATGCCAAGCCCCAGCTGCTCAGTCCTGCATGGGGAGAGTTTGTTTTCCATGAAGTTTGTTGCTGGGAGCAGGTTCACGTTCCCTGCAGACCACAGCTCGCCCAGCCAGCCAGCCTGCTGCAGGGAGTGCCGAGTGGCTGCAAGGTAGGGCTCGGCTTTTGCTTGGAAAGATGGGATGGGGGTGTTGAAAGGTTTCCTGCTCTCGCAGTGCATCCTCCCTCCCTCCTCCTCCTCCTCCTCCTTTCCTGACTTCTGTTTCATGGCACAGCCAGGCAGGTCTCTGTGGGTAGGCTGGGCTGTTGGCAGTGCCTGTGTTGTCTGCGAAGTTTCCTGGAAGGAGGGTTTGGAGAGGAGAGTGCCTGTGTGCCAGGGAGATGTGCTGAACACAGAAAAGCCAGGTGGGGAGAGGGCACGTGCGAGGCAGGGGAGAGTGCTGCTTCCTCCCTGTCCCCTTGCCTTCCCCTCCCTTTGCGCCCTGCGGCTCTTGCAGGAAGCATTTGGAGCCTTCCGGTTCCTGGAGAGAACCCACATGTTTAAAAGCCTCTGGTGCAAGCTGGGGAACACCCTGGGTTGTCTGAGGGCCTGTCAACGCAGGCAAGATAGCCAGGAGTGACGGAGCACCCTGACTGTCTCAGTGCCGTGGTCTCTGCAGGCAGCCGAAATAACCTTCCCACCAGTGCCCTGGTCTGGGGGCAGCCTGGCCCGTCTGCAAAATGTCCATGGGGTGACGGAATTAATTGTCCTGCCCATTTAACACAGGGCACTGCATTTCTCCAGTAATATTGAAGAAGGTGTCAGATCCTGTTGCCCTTCTGAGTACTCAAAGGTATTAGAGAGTAGCTGGAGGGTGGGAGATGGGTGCTACTGGGTGTGCAAAGGCAGTGGGCACCCCAACTCTGCAAAGCTTTAGGGCTGCTGGCTGCAGCCCAGAGAGCTCCTGGGTACCCGGTCCTTTGGGTTTCTGCTCTGCTAGAGCAGGAGTTGCACGGAGAGCCTGGAGAGGAGGTGGTGTGGGAGAGGGAGAAGTGCTTGGTAAGCGTGACGGAGGAGCAAGGTGTGCCTGTGGACATGGCCTGGGGCTGCGTGCAGGGTGCGTGCACACCCAGCAGAAGTGCCGTTGAGCTCCGCTGCGGTGGTTCTGGTTTCAGTGCAGTCCTTTGAGCAGAGCACGAAGACTGGTCTCTGTGGGACAGATTTTCTAAATAGTTTTGAGTGCAGTTGCTCAGCACATGTAGTTGGGGCCAGACCTTCAAAAGAGCTCAACACCCAGCGTTTAGCTTTTTGGAAAACCTGACCATTTATTCAAGCATCTAAATGGGAGCTGAGGCATTCCAGAAATCTGGTCCCTATTGTGCAGGCTGGGTTCTTGCTGAATATGTACATATGTACGCACTCCTACATATAACCAGGGGACTGCTCAATTAGCTGTTGTAGACTCTGCGCTGCAGACAGCGAAGGGAGATTTTTCAGAAAGGAGACAGCCAGGATTCTGAAGCTGGAGGATGTGAGTTTGGTGGTTGCCATCACAATGAAACTGGGGGAGGTGTATGGTTCACTGTGGTGACAGTCAGGGCATTTCTGCTTTTCCCCATGCATGTGCTCGTGTGTATGTAGGTGTGTAGGTTCATTGTCATTAGCCAAAATGGCTTGGCTCTGCCTTGTCTCATCTTGACCACGATACGTGAAATTAAATCATTACAGTGCTGTCTCACTGGCGTTTGCAGCGTTGTATCTTATTCCCTCCTGTTGCAACTTCACGACTGAAATGCATTTGGGATTCGGGATCTGAAAATGAGAAAATAAGCTTTATGGTACTCAGAAAATTTAAGGACCAGGGCTCGTGCAGTTAGTTGGCAAAATGTATTGTAATGAGGTGTCTGGCTCCCATTTTCCATTTCTGGCTTCCAAGAGTGGCAATGGCAGCATCTGCAAGTAGGTGAGTGTGTGTCCAGGTGGGGTGGGGAATCCCTGACTTTTCTTTCTGAATTTTTGGATGACTTTCTGTGAAATCTTAGCAAGTGCTCTCATCCCATGTGCCCTGGTTTCCCCATTTGTAAAATGAGATGTAGATATTAAAAACCTCTCTTCAGCTCATTGAAACTCTCTGCTGTGTGCTATTAAGTGAGTGCAAATTGTTACTACTACTGGAATAATGAACACTGATGTGCACATGGTCTGTGACAAGCTGCTTGACTAACTTGGGCCACAGTTTCCCCATCTTCCTGTCCTAGAAGACCCATGAGACTTAGAGTTTATAGCATGAGAAGCCCCCACGTATTTAAAACATTATGAGATTTAGTAAAGATTTAATTTTGTCTTTCGGCACTTAGTCTGTAGAAATCACATTTTCAAGCTTTCCTTGTTCACTGCCAAAGCTGGAAATGTGTATTAAAGAAAGGGAAGAAAAGGAAACAGAAATTCTTGTAAAATACTGTAGCTCTAGGAACAGGGGCTTTAACAGATATGCCAAACGCCAGGACTCTTGTGATAAAATGATAGATATTGGCAGCGTTGCTTGGGTGCTCAGCAAGTGCAGTGAAGCTCTAGGCTGGATTTGCCTCCTTTTTTCACCAGCTCATCCCAGTGAAAGCTTCCATGGGGTCGTGGCAGGCTTACACTGGCAGGGTCACTGGTGGCTGCAGCATGGGTCTCCTTTTCGAGTGCATTGAAAATTCAGCCAAACCCACACTGGAAGGTGCTGATTTCTGGAGCACTTTTGCTTCACCTCTGCTTCGCTTCATGCCTGCCTTCTCCAGCCTTTTCCTCCTGCCCTCTCCCTCCTCCAGCCCCCTTTTTTTCCCCATTTAGTGTATTGTTTCCTAAGCTAATTATTCCTCTCTCTCTCTCCCTCCCAAAAACACACAGTGGAACTCATGTATTTGTTGCAATTGCATCTTCCCCTGACAGCATCCCGTCTTTGGCATGTGCTGGCAGCTGTAGCCTCAGGGCTTTGCCTGCATGAGGAAACAATCAGCATCTTTCTGGAGAGTCAATGAATTTCGATGTGACTCTTCTGTTCTGAATGCACCTTCGGTCCAGACTGAGGACTTCAGCTTCTAGAATAAAATGCCCATGTGAGGGAGTTGTACCAGAATAGGCATCCTTTCCCACGAAAAGGTCTCAGAGACAAGAGGATGGATTTTTCTAAGCCCTGCATCTCATGCAGGTGTTCGTCTGACGGCAGGTCTCTTGGCCCACGCACCAGTGACCACACTGGGAAGTTCGGAACTCGGCACAAAAGTTTCTGCAGCTTCCGTAAAGAAGTCCACGTCTTTAGCTGACATCAGTAGCACAGAAAAGCTCCTGTAGTCAGCTGAGTGTGTTCCCACGGGAGTGTGCAGCTGAGGAAGACAGGGAGGAAGCAGGAGTGTGTGATGGAGCATGCTCTTCTATCCATCCATCCTGTATGCCAGCTGGCCTGGGCATCCTCAAGCCTCACTGACTTGAGGTCACACAGGCCTACGTTGTCAGTCCTTTCGCTGAAAACATCTCAGTTTTAGCATAAACGTCCAGATAGCACTGTATGAGAATAACCTCCTCGGTTACAGTCCGTTCCTCAAGAGAATATAAAATCAGGGTGGGCAGGGACTCAGTGTTTCTCAGGCCATGGTTTTTCCTTGCTTTGCAATTTGAAGAATCCCATTTTTCTGGGGGTTTAGCGCGAGAAAAAACAGGATGAAGAAATCAAACTAAATAGTCTGTTTCCTGTTAGCAGAGATGGACCCAGACCAGCTGTCTCTGTTGGGAGAGCAGATGTGGGGGATCTCTAGGTTAGGTTCAAGCCTAGGTTCTGAGATCTCCACTGACTGATCTCTTTACCTGTGCACAGGCAACACATGCTGAAATCCAGATTCTCCCATTGTCTATACAGGGTGGATCTGAGAAACCCTTGAAGAAGATAGAGAGCGAGGGTAAGGGGGCACAGAGTCCCTTTGGGGAAATAGCAAGAGGAAAGCTCAGGTTTCTTGAAATCAGCCAGAGCTTGTTAAGTCCTTCCCTATCATCTTACCATAAACTGATTTGGGGGCTTCTGTTGATATTCTGCACTCCAGATGTTGGCTGCAGCTGGGGTAGAGATAGTGGGACGCTCCCAGCCAGAAGCTGGGATGTGGGGGAAGGGGTATTGGGCTCATGTGGATGGGTGGAGAAGGAAAGAGGAATATGAATGTATGGTTGTAAATCCACCCCTTCACACCCTCCTTTCTTTTCCCTTACAACTGCTATTCTCAGCAGAGGAAAAGTTAGCCCTCCAGTACTCTCTGATTTCTTTTGCAGAGTCGGAAGGACAAAGAAAGACCTAAACAGAAGCACAAAAAACGTCCAGAGTCTCCCACCAGCCTTACCCCATCCTCAGTGCCCGTCGCTGCAGAGAAGGTACCAAATCCACAGGATGTGAGTGTGTGAATGCAGAGTGGGGAGGGAGGGCAGGGGGAAACCACCAACATTGGCTTTCCTAGGAAGGGGGGAGGACAGGGCAGAAGAGCAGAGAAAGGGCTTTTGTCCATTTGTTTTGATTCCTGATTCTCGCTCTCTCTGCCTGACTCCCCACCTCGACGCCCACCTTGGGAATTTAACACGGCAGCTGTCTTGATTTCTGTCAGCACTGACGACACAATCATGGAGCTAAACTCCCAAGTGATTGAGCTGTAAGTGCCAGCCTGTTCTGCAGCAGATGTTCAGATTTGAAGCTCTCGCGGAATAGATAAATATCCATGCTTTGGCCTTTTCTGCTGCCACATTGTAAACGGCTCAGGCAGGTGGATAAGCAAGGCAAGGCTTGTGGGAGGAGGTGTTATCCTTTATTAGACAAACTGATGTAGCTGAGGGGAAAAAAAAACAGACAATCTTAGAAGCACATAAGATCTTCAAAGTGCATAATAGAGGTGGCTTTTCTGTGTGAGACAACGGGAGGTTGGTTTCTATTTAGTTCCTCCATTTCAGGAAAATTCAGGCAGAGGGGCACAGTGTGGTGGCCTGTTTTGCTCCTGAGGTGTAGAGGCAGTCCAGCTCCTGCTGGGAAGATGTCGCTTGTGTGGGTTTGTCTTCTCAGTGCCCAGGGCTTGTGGGGCTGGTGGGGCACAGTCAGGATGTCAGTGTGTTTCTGCTATTCACTGCTGAAATCGTGCTGCTGACATGGACTCTTGCACCTGGCTGTAAATCATCACAGCCCTGAGCTTTCTGTAATTCATGCTAGCCCCAAACTCCAGTAATGCAGAATAGACACAGTGGAACTTGCCTCAAGCTTGCATGCAACAAGGTGAAGGCCAACTTTGCAGTTGTTCGGGGTCAGGGAACAAGTGAGGTTACTCCAGCACCAGGACCTTTGGAGTTGTACTCTCCTTTCTGTAGTGGGAATGTAAACTAATGCAACTCCTTAGCAGGGCTGTTCTGGTGTAAGTGAGAGTAGGACTAGGGCCAAGCTCCTGCTAGAACAAATAAACAACATGTCCCAGGAATGTCCTTTTGTGCACAGAAATGCTACTTGGAAAGGCTTGGGTGTCCTTTACGTGGCAGGACTGCCTTGTGAAAATGAAAATTCACAGGCTAGCAGTGTCTGCATATGTGACAAGCACTGCAGGGGCAGTCTGGAAGAGCAAAAGCTCCTGCCAGTCAGCACAGGGTTTAGGTTTGGGTTAGGACTGAAGAGGATTTTCTATGTTCTGTGTGAGGCCGAGCCTGGAAGCAGGGAGTAGATGTAGGTCAGAGCTGAAATGGCAAAGCTGGTCTCATGGTTCTCAGGCTGGGAGAAGCAGAAAGTTACAGCAGGACAGAGTGGAGGAACAGCCTCTGAGCTGCAATCACTCTTGATTTACCTGTGCTCATGTTAGGGAAGCTCAGCTCTGGCTTTTGGGAGCAGCAGATTCGCCCAGCTAACAGAGCTGTCAGGAACCGATGGCCTAAGAAGATTATTTTCAAGCTGAACTGAAATCCAAAACCTGACTTTTGGCCAGCTAGAGCGGTTGTTAGACAATTACCCACTGTCTCCTCCAAAGCCCGGCCAGACCTTTATAAATAAGGAGGGACGGGTGCAATTCAGTTTTACGGGCAGCTTTCAAGTCTTTGTAAGCTAAAATTCAGGAGGTCCTAATTACTGTAGCTGTACTTGAGTGACAGGGTTTTAGTGTTTCCCTAGGGAGTTATTATTAATCCTCATAACAGAGAGTGTATTTCCCTTGCTTTTTTTGTGCATAGATCTCAAAGTATTGTTCAAACTCTGTTACCAAAGGTACTCACTCCAGATCAAATGTAAGAGCTGCTCAGCAGCCTGCTGCAACCCCACACAAACCCCTCGGGTGGTGGTTGTATGAGGCTTTCTGGATAGTTGCACCAGTGTAACATTGCACAGGTTAGACTAGTGTAAAACCTTGAGACACACTAATGTAGCATGTCCAAACAGATTTCCTCTTGGAAGCCAAAACCATCTTTGTCCTTTCTGGGTCTTAGATTAGTACAGCTCATCCCAGTAGAGTGTACTGGGGAGTGGGTAGGGTAGATGCAGCAAACCAAAAGCTGACGTTCATGGTGTGACTATGCAGAAGAGCATTGCTAGTCCCTGCTCTGCCATGGTTAGAGTCTGAAGAGGGCTGGGGTCTCTTCCTCTCCTTACCACTTGCATGATCTTGGGCAAATAATTTATCGCCTCCATGGTCTTCTCCAAGTCACCCAATGAACCAGAGCATAAACTCCCCAGGGATAATCCCTGCAGGTGACACAGCCCCCAGCCTTTCGTGGGGAGCAGCTGGGTGAGAGCAGATCTCAATGACCTGCAGCAGTGAGGGCAGATGGTCCTGTCCAGGCTCCTGGGAGAAGGATGCTGGCCCGGAGCAGCCATGCAGAGCCGTGGGAGGCTGGTGCAGCCCTTGATGTCCGCACCAGACCCATGCTGCCAGCTCGCCATGCTGCTCGCACCGTAGCCAAAGCGGCACCACGTACAGTGAGTCCCAGGCTCCCGTCCTGGTGCGCAGGCTGTGCTGGAGCAGGGGTTGGGCTGAAGGCACTGAGCGTCACCAGTGTTTTGGAGCCAGCAATGAGGAGCAGGAGGGCCCTGGCACCGCTTGCTCCTTGGACACCGGGACTGCGGGCAGACTGTAGTGTGGCCCCAGCCACCAGGCCATGGAGAGGTGTTACTAGCACCTGAAGCCACACTCCAATCTGCTTCCAGTTTGCTCGGCCTAAAAGGGGCCTGGGGCAACAGACGTCTCAGCCCCAGCATCTGATGTTGCTACCAAAGTCCTTTGAAACTTTCAGTAACCCTTTAATAATGGATTTTCAGAGCTATATAGAAAATCAGTAGGACTTCTCAAGCTACTTCAGGTTAGGCTGACAGCAGTGGAACTATGTTTCGTTGCTTTGGAGGAACAGAGGTATATCCCACTTCCTTGTTCCCTTGGGTAGCCTGGCCTCTGGGTTCAGATTTTTCTTTAATTTTGCAATCCAGATTTATTTTTCAGTTCCAATTTTCACCTAATACGTCGTCCACCCTGTGCTCCCCTCTTGAACCATTTAGTTATGAAGAAGATCCTTTGATGTGGTTTCAGCCTTCCTCTTGAAATCAATTGTGCTAGACCTCTGACTTCTGCCAGATTTTTGAACATCTCACTGAGTGCTTCCCTGTGTCTTCTAGGAATCTAAATACCATTAATATCTGACACTTGGACTCTACCAGGCCCTCGTGTCCTGTCTGTGCAGTGACAAGCTCTGACTGCCTCACTCTGGTTTGGCGGATAAATATACTGAAAACACAATGGTGGCCTCAGATCTCATCTACACCGGAAAGTGAAACTAGGGTGTGAATTCACAGCATGCAAATGACTCTTTGTAACACCTCTTCCGAGCTCTCCTCCTGCCTCTGAAAAATGTCTTTGGGCGATGCAATTTTCATCACTCTCAAAGAGGGGCAGGAGACCTTGCTTGCGGGGCACAGGAGTGTCCCTTCCAGAGAGCACGCAGAGCAGCTGGCCTGCTGAAAATCCCCCAGTGGTGCTCCAGGGCTAGGGCTTTTGGATGGATTTGGGGGGGGATTGTAGAGAGTGGATTTGTGCTGGATATAGGCTCTCATTCATTGTCATGCTGGCTACTTGGAGCTCCTACAGACTTTTTGGGGAGTGGGAAGGAGGCAGAAAACATCCCCTCTGGGTAGCAGTTTCTAGCTATAATAGTTTCTGGCTATTTCATGTGGTCTATCCAAAAATGCCAAAATGCTGCCAACAA